CAAGTGACAAATTGTTTAATCTTATATTAAATGATTACGACAGAAGATGGTGGATTTGTATTTTTCTAAGAAATTTTCTATGACTGTGCTATGGTATGTATGGTGATGACATTCATAGATATCTGTTGGAAAAGAAAAAATCAAAACTTTTAAATTTGCAAGTCTATTAAAAAAAAAAAAAAAAGTTCTCTTGATAAAGTGATCAGTTTACTGAATGTTAGTGGTGCATGTATGCATATGTGCATCTGTGTGTGTGTGTGTGTATGTATTATGTGTATGTGTATGTACGTGTATGAGAATTTAGTATCTATGCTTACTTATGATTAGATGAATTTTTCTCATTTTAAATGAATTTTTTTTCAATTGCAAATGTAGAAAGAGTCCTTCTAATTCTATAATTAATAAATATTTAATCTAGGTCTAAAATGACAGTTTATTCAATGAATTTTATCAAAACTATCTTTATTTCATGTTGTATATATTATTTCTAAAGAAATCACATAGTCATTTTTTCAAATGATCTTTCATTTATGCTATTTATTAATTCAAATAAGATTAATGAAATTAAGCAAAATAAATGAAATTTTAAAATGATTATTTCAAATAAATGAAACTTTTAAACTGATTTATCCTTTAAATAAAAAAAAAAATCACGGAATAATCAATTTTATTCGGCGTAACTAATGATGATGCAGTAGTAATAATGATCATGATGACCTTGTTTTCCGCATCTTTTTGCTTCTTTTTTTTTCCTTTTATATGTTTATGTACATATATATGAATTTTAACATATGTATGCTTCCGAATGTTGTTTACGTAAACAAATGTTTAGACTTTGTAAACAATGACAATAATAATGACACAAGGACATTGGTGACCTTAGTTTATTGATATAAATTGATGACAGTATTGATAATAGTAAGGTATTGTCGAGAAAGAGTTGAGCTAGAGTGCACCACCATATATATATATATATGCACACACACACACACACACACACACACACACACACACACACACACACACACACACACACACATAAACATACATTAACATTTATTATTAGAGTGGTTCATTTGAAGTAGTGTTGGTGCAGACTGTCCCCGTCATTTTGGCTGTTTCGTACCAGTCGTTGTCACCTGGTAGGTCTCCCATTCCGCTTGACCTTAGCGCATTTCATTTCTCTCTTTTCCTTCACTCTTCCTCCTCCAACACATTCCGTCTTTTCGGCTTTGCCTTTAAACAACGTCTACATGATACACGATTACTTTACATTCTTCCCATTTATATCAAATTTTATTTATTAATTATTAATCATTAATTTATGCCAAATAATAGACAGTAAATAATTGCTACATTTAATAAGCTTTATTGTTTCATTATTGTTTTACCGTTATTGTCCCAATGTTTATTAATCCTACCAGACAAACATAATTAAAATTCGGTATGCAAAAAAATGAGAAAAAAATTTCTCAGCTAATTCTTCTTCTGCGCTAATTTGTTTACCTTCCTCTCTCTCTTTTTTGAGAATTTTGTTAAATTATTCCAAGCTTATCACTGAAAAGACATCAGTACAAGTAATAATATTAAATAAATAGATATCAATGCATCGGATAATCATATATCACTGGGATTTTAATATTTATAAATTAAAAGCTTTCATCTAATGAGAAGAGATTAAGTTAAGAAATATCATCTAATTTAAATCGTACTTATTTACCCGATATGTTAATATTTATTGCTAAATTTATAATTAATTTAGTTTTGTAAATTTGATGCTATTTTTAGTCAATCTCAAAATTTAGTTAGAGTTGAAAATTAGGGAGAGATGGGTAGGAAAAAAAATAATTATCTTGCAGCAGCTATGATATTTTTTCCCTTTTTTTTTGTGCTACATTAATATTATATTTCATTTCTTAATACTAATCTTTTTCTTCTATCTTTTTTCTCATTTTTTAACGTTTTATTGACGTGAAAAAGTTAAGTAAGTTGCATACGTTTGTTGTATACATTTATTCATCAAAAGTCATTTAACCTTTTTTTTTTTTCATTTATCATCCTTAATATAATTGTAATAAATCGTTTATAATATTTGTTTGAAAATTATTTGAGCAAATGATTCACAGAAGTAAATTCACTTTTTTTTTTGTATATTTCTTTTTTCTAAGGTAATACCAAATTTAATAGCGGGTAAATTTATCTATTTTTGTTGGGCAAATGGATCTATGCCCATCAGATTGGTTTGATTCCAATCTAGTAATAACAACCCGAACAACAATCGATTTAACACCAAATGGAATATAAAAAAGAAGAAAAAAAAGTTTTAATAAGCGAAAACATGAAACGACAAGTCGTATTGATGGCATTGATAATTTGGAACAACCAGAGGAACAATTCAATCAGGTGTTAAACAATTACTTCCATTTTTCAAATCCGACCAATACCACATGGTTTCAGCAAGGTTTGCATCTGAATCGTTTTTTGTTTTTCATTTTACAAATTTTTATCATATTTGCTAGAATTGCTATCATCAATAAATAGTTTTATTATGGATGAATTATTCATAGTAAATATTTAAATATTTCACAGTATCAACATCTGAAATTCCAATTTTAACACAAAATAATCACTTGCATAACTAATAATCAAACAGTATTAATGTCCAAATTATCCACTTCTATTATTGTTTACTTTTTTTTTATCATCTATTTTTTAATTAAATGGAAAAGCTTTGAAAAAAATCATTAATAATTCAAAAACACCAATCATTTTTCCATTATATGAGATAAATTTGATTTGAAATAAAAACAGAAGCAAAATTTTCACAAAATTAACACAGCAAGCTTTCTTTCTTTTAAATCATCGATTAATCACAAAGTGAATTAATTATTGGATCACATTTCCTAATGATATCACAAAGACATATCATATACAAATTCTTTTGAATATAAACCGATTATACAGATTATTTTGAATTTACTCAAATCACTCATTACATTATCAGTAATAATCAAAAAATTTCCACATGATTTCTTTTTTTAATTCAATAATAACTGACTTCCTTAAACCATTGATCAAAATTAAAATAATTTTTCAAGTTTAAAAATAATAAATAAGTTTAAAAAATAAGTAAATGCATGAAGCATTTTTTTAAAAAAAAACAGCAAGAATTTTTTTCACTAAGATTTCTAAATAATACATTACGCTAAAGAATATTCATTCAATCTGATCCCAAAACATTTTCCATTGTACTTTAGTAAAGCGCAATTGTTGTATTCTCATTGGGAGAGGAATCTTTTGACAAAATGATATCAAAATATAACTTGAAAGTCTATATAAATTACAAAAATACTCTAAAACTAAATGCAACTTTTTTTTTGCAATTAAAAAATATTTCTTTATTAAATTTCAAAACTGGATTTTTAATTTAAATTGAATTCTTCTCAAATGCTTAAATTTGAGTTATTGACTTCTAATAATTTTCTGATGTACGCAAGAGGAACGATACAATGTTGAAAATTCAATAGCGTCACGTACGACTTCCTTCTTTTTGTGAAAAGGAAAAAAAAACTCAATCTTATCAATTATCTGCAATTTAATGTTTATTCTGCTAGTTTTCAAAAATTTTTTATTTCACTTTTTTCTTTTTTTGTTTTAGAAAACTAAGTTTTTTAATTATGAGAGCAAAAAAGAGAATACAAATTAGTAAAAATTGGTCAGATATTTTCCCCACTGTAAAATTTAAATGATGGTAGTAGTGTTATTTTGTTTGCTTTTCGATTTTTTATTGATTGGTGTTAACGATCTTATGTAGTAATAAATGTTGTCGCAAGTCTTTGTTACTATGATGCAACATTATTATCATTTCACATTATTACCTGTCAATAACAAACTCTTTGTGACGATCTTCTGCATGAAATAAATAATTTCGACTTTTCATTTTAAAAAAAATAGCAAAATTATATGTCAAATAAAGGATTTCATTCCACATCAATTTATCATTGCTTTTTTTTTTGGTTTGTTTTTAAAAATTTTTAAGATTTTATTCATAAGTTCAAATTAGTTCAGAACAGCAAATGCTACCAACAACTGCACAACTTTTGCGACCAACTACCGATCGCTTACAGGAGTTTACAGTTTCAAATGATGAAGTTAGCAGGTAAAGATATTTTATAAATGATTTTTGTTTTTTTACAAATCTTTTCGTTAATATTTTGGCAATATTTTTTGTTCTAATTAATTTTAACTATTCAAATAGTTGAATTTATTATAATTTCTTTCACACATAAAATTTTATTCCAAATATTTTCTAGCACAACTCCAAATATGACACTGTATGCCATACAAAAATCATCGACATCAATCAATCTAGGAACCACCACAAAGCACATTTGCGCAATATGCGGTGATCGAGCATCCGGGAAACACTATGGGGTGTACAGGTGGATGCACCTATCTACTCAATCTAAAATTTTTATAAAAAGGATCTTCGAAGTTTAAAAATTAAAATACTTTTCACGTTTTATTTTAAATTACAACAGTATCACTTTTTATTAATAGTCACTGTAATTAATTGAAATCAAAATTTTATTTTAGTTTTTAAAAATTTGCAAAATTGGCCTTTGCAACTTCGAAACTGAATTTGATTTATTTCAATGACATATCAATTTGATTAATGTATTATGACATTAAAAATGGAATGACATGATAGTGATGTATATCAAATTTAACAAGTAAAACTAAATTTCTCAATAAATGACATTTTTAAAATTTCACCAGTACAAATTTTTTTTTACAAAAATTTCTTTTCTTCTTTTACAATTATCATTTCTTTTATGGTTTATTCAAATTTTAAAATCCTTTTGTAAATTGCAGTTTGTAAAGGATTTTTCAAGAGGACAGTACGTAAGGATCTTATCTGCCGAGAAAATCGTAATTGTATCATCGATAAACGACAAAGGAACCGATGTCAATATTGTCGTTACTGCAAGTGTCAAAGTATGGGGATGAAAAGAGAAGGTCATTTTCTATAACATACTTCTTTCATTGTGGATTAAAATCCAATAATTATTTATGGTTAAAAGGAAAAGAAATATATTTCTATTGTTTCAATTAGCCATTTTATCAAAAGAAAGATTTAAAGGATGAATTAAATATTATAAGGTGGAAAAGATTATTTATAATATCCATCTTAACTTAATGTCTAACTTATTATCAGTGTGAAATTAAATTGTTTTGATATTTTAGAATTATCATATGTATTTATTGATAATATTTAATTCAATTTAATCGTTTTACTCTTTCATCGTTTCCATCACATGGTTTTAGTGAAGTGAGCAAGTTGACAATTAAAAAATAAGAAACTGAAATTTTAGTTCATTTTTAGGAACAGTAAAATGAACTTAAAGTTGCATTTTCACTTAGATTGAAGAAGATTTAATTCTTATATGAATTCTTTATTTCTATAAATAGATTTAAATAATAATTTACAAATATTTAATGTTAGTGTTATTAATTTTAGCCGCCTTTTCTCTCTTTTTGGCAACACTTCATTGATTTTTAATACAGTTAATGAATTAATTTATTCTAATGAATAAAAATAAAAGCAATGCATCCTAAAGCAATGCATCATTAATGTAAATTTAAGTGGAAGAATGTATCAGTTATTAGATTAATTTACTGAAACAGCTATATGCATATTTTAAATTGATAGAATACAAAAAGTGGAATAAATAAATAAACAAATAAATGTTTGTTTATAGCTGTTCAAGAGGAAAGACAAAGTTCAAGAACAGATCTAACAAAAGTACTAACCAGTGGTGGACAACGGCATATTACCACAAGTCAAATGGAAGCGGAAAGTACGAGTACTTATGGCGGTCTTGAGATTCAACTTGAAAGGATTGCTGCAGCTGAAGAAGCTTCAGAAGTACTTTTCAGTAACATTAAGGTATTTTTCATTACTTCTTTTCCTTTTTTTTAATTCAAGTAATATTTGAGTGAAAAAACAAGTTTCGTCTAATAATTTTTGATTATGTTCTCATCCTACTTCTAATTAGTTATTTAATTCCAATTAAGTGCTTAATAATTCTTTCTTTCAACTAATCTAAATTTAATTAAAAATTTAATTATTTATTTAATTATTTAATTATTTTAATTATTTAATTATATAATTAACTAACCTAAATTTAATTTAATTTAATAATTTAATTATTTAATTTTAATTATTTTAATTATTTAATTAATTTAATTATTTAATTATTTAATTAATTAATTTAATTTAATTATTTAAATTTAATTATTTGAATACAAAAAAAAATTTTTTTTCTTGCATTTAATTTAATTTTTTTCAAATAAATTAACGATGCAAATTAATTGTGTGCTTTATTAAAACTGTCAAAGCGCAGTTGTTTGTTTCATCATTTGTTAGTACACAGTTTCTGAGACAGTAGGACTATTTTTTAAAATACATTCGTTACAAATTAAATCAGTATAATTGTAGTCTCCTAAAAAAAAAAAAAAAAAATGCAAACAGTAATGAATTTGACCTTGCCTTGCCTTAGGTCATCATTATATATGACAAAATTTTAGCATCATTTTGGAGCGACACAATAATAGTAATAATAGCCTGTCTTCATTTGCATTTAGTTTTGGTTAACAAATAGACAACCAATTAATGTTTTACAATAATGGATCTTTTAAATTTTTATTTCAAAGAGATGGCATATTACAGGAAATAAACTGAAATCTTGATTTTTAATCTTTTTTTTTTCTTCTTTCTTTCTTCTTTGCAAACGATTTAGGGAAATCACAAGTGTGAAAAAACTTCAACATAGTTTATCTTATAACTGAAACTTTTTAATAGCAATAATATTTTCTGATATCATTAACAATGTATCAAAATGTGTTATAATTATAGATCGAATCAAGTGATATTAATAGTTGTGAATCATTGGAATGGCAAATGATACGAATGGTTGAATGGGCTTTAATGTTACCATCATTTAATGAAATTTTAGTAGAAGATCAAGCTCGATTAATAAGATTTGGTTTGTTTATTTTCTTATCTTTTATTATCATGTAATTTTCAAATGATTTATTGTTGAATTTTCAGAAAGCATACATTGTGATAATAAAATTTGATAGGTTAGTGATACTGTGATATATTTCAATAGATTAGCAATACTCTGATGCGTATATTTCGATATGTCAATGAGTGATTGCATATAAAAAGCTTTTTTTGATCCTTCTTCTCATTCATAGTAAATTTTAAAAACAGTGTGAAATCTAACAACATAATGCTAATATAAACAATCTTGTCATTTTGTGCAGGATATGAATAGATATTAATCTCTTGAAAATGACCACCTGCTGGATATATTATATGTCTCTGTTTTGTTATATGAAATGGATCAATTTTTTGAATCAAATTTCCGCTTTGCACAATCAATAATGAAATGGAAGTATGACAAATAGAGTTACTACCATTGATCTATGTGGTCAATGCTGTTCAGTAATTACCTGAATGATCTTAATGTTACTAACAAAATTTTTAACAGTTTAAAATTTAGCCATTGATTTAATGATCTTTTCAGGATGGCATGAATTAATTCTTGCCGATATAGCTTATCGTTCTACAATAAATAAATTATTACTGTGGCCGGAACGTGTAATGGAACGAAATGATGCGGAGATTCTTGGCTGCCGGATCATTTTCGATCGAATCATCAATGAGCTTATAATTCGGATGAAAGATTTAAATGTGGATCGAATGGAAATTGCCGCATTACGCTGCGCTATTCTTTATAATCCAAGTAAGTTATTGCGAAAAACAAGAGTAAAATATTACAAAAGTAATCAAACAGTTCAATTTCAGTGTGAATTTTTTTTTTTTTTTTGAATTTTAACAGACATAAATTAACAAAACACTACTAAATAATGAATGTTAAAAAAAAAAATTGTGTTATATGAAGTTAGCAAAATTTGAATCTTTTTTAAACAGGTGTTAGTGGATTGCAAAATGTCTCAGTGATAGAATCATTACGCGACAAAGTGATGGTATGTTTGGAGGATTACTGTCGACAACATCATCCAACACAAACTCAACGCTTTGCTAAGTTATTATTACGCATGCCAGCATTACGATCTCTTAGCTTGCATTGTGCTGAAAATGATAGTTTTATTATTACTGCACCTACTATTCAGGTAATTTCTTCAAAATATCAATCTACCTGACCAGGTCTATAATAACTGTATATATACATGTATATATATTTCCATATAGATAGAAGAATTAATATTAGTCGAGCAACACCAACTGAAATATGCCAATTATTGTTTTGAATATATTTCGAAAAGATTTAGATCTTTCTTAATTGGGAAATTATTAGTCGTCAAGATGAAATAATTAATTCAATCATTTCTAACGATTATACTTGAACTAAAACTGATTGAACATATTTCTTAGAATTACTTCCTTTGCAACAAATCTCACAAAACTCAAACTTCATACACAGTGTAAGAAGCGCAAGTTCAAAAGTGTTAGCAAATATTTCTCTTCAACTGAAATGGATAACAAATTCTAGTAAATTCATCTGTAATAGGATTAATTTATCATTTACTATATTTCAGGATCTTATTAGAGTATTAATTCAGCGCCAAAATTTATCCATACAAAGAAATCTGTGATATATTTTGTCTTTAATTTTACATATTTTAGGCCAAAGATTTCGTTTTTTCTTTCCTGCAATAAGAAACCAATACATTCCATTACCTGCTTCACTTTTGTGCTTTAACCATTTCAACCAAATGTTTTTTCTAATTTTTAATTTAGCATATTTTTCATTTATCATTAGCAGCAATAGTTAAGTTTCATTTTATCTCTTGTCTAATTTACAACGAAGAAGAATTTTTTCGTTTCACAGTGACTTTCCTGGAAAGTTGGATCGATAGAGGTGATAATGCTAAATATTAAAAATCTTTTCGAAGTATTCGGAGGAAAGAATATTCGAAAGAATGAAGCTTTAAATGACAGCTTCTAATTTATGATGAAGCCAGTGTCTATCAAAGTTCCATTGCTGTTTAATAGTCTTTTTTTTTAATAATATTTTTCTTCAAGCTTATCTTGTCACAAAATTAATAGTAAATAATTCAATTATTTTAAGTGTGTTTTTAATATTGCAAATGCTTTTACCAGATACGAAACTTTCGAAATTTTACAATCCCAACTAAATAAGTAAAGATGTAAATAAACACTTCGTAGCTATCCTGAAATTTTTGTGCTAAGAAACAAAATCGCGCAGCATGTGGTACAATTAAAGTGCTATGAAATTTTTATTTATAAAATCTTTCAAAGCATAACTTTATCGTCTGGTACAAGAATGAAATTATAAAAATTACGAACGCTGAATATATTTGTTTTTTGTTTTAAAATTATGTTTCAATTTCTCGAATAAATAAAATCCAGAAATATTCCAGAATTCTTTACACCCTACCCTCTCTTCTCCATAAATTTCATTCATACTGAACGATTTCCTGAACAAATCAGCGACAATTTTGAAAAGACTTATACTATATTTTTCTGAGCTATTCCAAGCTATTCTAAGCTTTTATTTATCAGCAAATCACAACAGTCAATTTAAGATTTATTGCCAAATACAAGACAAAACTTATTCTAAACATCTAATTTGTTCCCATCTTTTCCTCCTTTTATTATTTATAATCAACGTTTATTTCCTGATATGTATTTTTTAAGAATGATAGATTCTAAAGTGAAAATGTTGTTATTTCAATCAATGGCCTCATGTAAGCTAATATGATATTTGCAGAAGAGGACAGTGATAGAAGTGTCAGAGACGAACCTATCAATGCATATATTATTAAAAGATATATAAAAAATTTTAAATCCAAAAAAATATAAGTGCATGAACAAAGTTAAAAAAAAATAAGAGGGCAAAGAATTTGTAGCGCAAATAACGAAAGATTGGCGAGTTAACAATCTACTGCATAACAAGAAGCTGCTTTGTTCCCGATGAATTCATCACATTAGTGATCGATGTTTTCCATTCTTCAAGTTTTAATTTATTGATTTTCGGTGGGTGGAGTTTTCCATGCTTTGTAATTCTTCAAACATTGCTTCACGATCCTGAAAATCAGTGAAACACAAATTAGAAAATAATCATAAGTAAGCTTGATTTAATGTAAGATTTAATCTCAAAATTACAGAAAATTACCAATAACATTGAGAAAATAGAAATTTCTAAATTTTTCTAAATTTTATGGTAGAAATGCACATGGCTTTACAAAACATCATTGCAAATTTTTTGCTAAAATATTTAGACCATAAGTTTACCCCTTGAAGCTTGAAGAATATCCTTGAAACTTATAAATGAGATGATACAAGTGAACAACAAAAGGAGTTATAATAAAATATTAGTAATGTTTATTAGTATTTCGAAGTTCTAATCAGTAATACATGTATTTCAATTTTTATTTAGTTAATGACTAAACGAAGATCAAATCCATAGTTATTCAAATTTCAGTCGAACAAAGTTAACTTTCTGAATGAATTCCAAGTGCATTTTCTAATAAGCTCCAACATCATGCGCCTTATCAGCAAAATAAAAGCTAAAAAAACCATTTCAATTAACATTTAAAAAAATAATAAGTGATATTCTTTGCATTTGTATCAAAAAATAGATACAAGCAACATCTTAAATAGAGGTTATAAAAAGTCAAAGTCCTATTAGGGAATTTGCAGTTTGAAGTAATGCATAGTGAGAAATGAATTAGCATTTCTAAACTAACGATAATTTCGAGAGTATAAGTCTAGGCAATGACATAAGGAAGATTCGTAAAATTGGAAATATGAAAAAGAAAAAATAAGTATTAGGATATCAAAAGAAACTAACCCTTTTGTTACTTTGAGTTGTGTACGACTGAGAAATCTAAAAACCCACCAATCTCATACCTTTAAATATTAATGATCCAGTTGGAAAATAAAGATTAATTTTTCGCAGAAAAAACAAGAAATTACCAACAATTTTATTTCAATCATTAATTAAATTAATGGAAACTGTAAAAAATTTCATGCTTCAACAGGTTTCTTGCTCATTACACCATAAGTAATCATTACTCTCTTATTAGAAAATCATTACTCCTTTATTAGAAAGGCAAGTTGATAACTAACATCGCACTTCGACCACCGACACAATTCAGCGCCAACTGAAAACATGAAATTTTACAACAAATACAGATTGAAAATTCTAATTAAATTATAATCAAATCAAATTTAGAAATTATAAAATTCCCAGCAAAATTTCAACAAAGCGAATTGGCTAGGAACTAGAAGTGTGGATGAATAAAACAAGACTTCAGAAACCAGCGGTATCTAGTTTATGGAAGTGGAGCTGCGTTATAGGTGCAAGTAAGTACGAGCAACTTGTCATAGCAAGTATTTAAGTATTTAAGGCCCAGCTGCTGCGGACAATTAGAAAAATCTGATAATTTGTAATTATATCAGAAAATTTTTAAAAAATAATATTAAGTTTGGCAATATCTCAAAATCGTATTCATCACAAGCAGCATACAAGCTAATTAAAATGGTAGATGCAACAAACCTCATTGAGTTGGAAATGGAATTAGCTTTTAGAGAATTAAGTTTTTAATTTATTCTATAAAAATATTTATTCTATAAAAAATTTCTTATACACTTTTATAACTTAAAAGGTCTTATTGTAAATATGATTCTAAATTGTTCTAGGAATTCCAGTGACTAAAATAGGATGAAATAGTGCTCACTCTATTCATCGATTCTTTCTTTGACTAGTACATTAAGATTTTCACGATTATATACAATATTTACAGTTCGGATATTCATAATTTGTACAGTTAGATTCAATACAAATAAAAAGGACTCACAAAGTATGAAAACATAAGATTTATATCAATTTTTTTTTCTTGCAGTTATAAATCATAAGATATCGTCTTCGATAAACCAAACTGTTAGAATAAGAATTTCACTCTATAACACAACGACAACACTCGAATTTGCACCATCTATGTAAAACACCGACTTTTAAATTAAAAGTCCTTCAGCATTCTGTAGGCTGCCGGAGAATTAACCTAAAGGTCAATATATATATATATATATATCGAGAACTGCTGGATTCAAGTATAACATTTGAAGATGTAGTAATATCTACCAGAGATGTTCATCCACAAAATTCTGTAAAAATCACTAATAAAAAAAAACCGAAAAATACGACACATCAGTTGAGTTAAAATTTAAAATATCTCATAAATATCACAAGGAAAGAAAAACAACCTGAAGTGCAGCTACTGAATCAAGCAATTTTAAAAAGATTCTTTTCGTAGTGATTTCCGAGTGTCCTCCAGCAACAGCACTTGAAATACTGATAGAACCGAATCACCTGCACGTAAAGCCGTCACCCCACTTCCAATCTAATGTGAACAAAAATCAAAAAAAAAAATGTATCTTGTCACAAATTCAAAATTCAAGAAGAAGGATAATGAAATCACCTCTTCAAAAAAAAAGAACCAAAACCTTCCATTTCACTAACAGCAGTAATAGTGGCTTTCGTGGATAAACTCCTTGCAGTTGTTTGTATTCGCTGGATTGATCGGTGCACCTGCTCAACGTACTTGTATCTCATCAGCATCAACTTTCCCCACTTCTTTCATTATTAAATTCAATACTTGCAAAAATATGATTTCATTTTTGGAAGTAAAAATTCTCTTCTATAATGACTTAAGTTTTGCTTTCATGAATTTCATTTGAAATAACCAAATAACAAATAATGACATTATCAAATTCACTATTTGCACTGTTTGGAAGGACAAATAATTTCATCAGTTTAAACTTAAATAATTGAAAAACAAAGAAATATAACGCAAAAGAATCCTTACATTTGCTGGATGACCATATTTTTCATATATTAACTGTTTTGATGAAAGAGATCGCTTGCAACATTTCTGGTATAACCGAACATCCATTAATGTCATTGATGACTGGAACATTATGATTGAGAAGTTATCTCTTATAAACTTTTCTTAAAAACTTGTTTCTTATAAACTATAAAATATTAAAAATTTTACTTTTGGCTCAAAACTACGTTTATTTCTTAAATTTCGATGCAGTAGTACACTAAATTTCATCTTAACCTGAAAAACTGAGAGATGAATAAAAAAATTTCACGAAGCATTAATGATGGCAAATAGCTGGATTTAAAATTATGGTAATAAATAATCATTTTCAATTTAACAGAAAAAATTGACGATTTTAGATATTACATAACTTCTAAAAGCTATTTTTGAGCAACCGATGAGTTCCAGCAAAATGTCACAAAATAAGAAAAATACATAAGATGAAAAAACAAGAGAAGAAACCCAAATGGAAGAAATGCGAATGTTACAAATGATTGATTCATAGCTCAGTTGATCTGATGACATTCTCGAATGACAACATTAATCACCATCATTACCACTACCATTACCATAGCTCAAAATATCAGAAATAGCGCAAAACAATATTCCCTATCCAGCCGCCTTTGCGTCTTTTTCAATTGTTATCAATCTTTGTTTTCTCTTCGCCATCAACGCTATTTCCTTTTTCTATTTCACTCGTTGAATCTTGATTTAAACAATCAAACTGTACGCCACCGCAGTCACGCTACGTGCACAAATAAAGAGATAGTTAACTTAACTTAACTGTAAGAAATGCGTGAAAATATAGCGTAACGTACGTCATTGAGCTGAGTTCCATTCCAATTACAAAATTTCATTACAACTGAAGATTTCATCATAAAATGAGATAATGCTTCAGATAGAAGAATTTTATTCCCATGGTATCATGGAATGCAATCAATCAATTTATTATCACAAGGAAATTTCTCCACTTGCTATTTCATTTCCAGTCATTATACTCGCAACATTAAAGAATTGATTATCCGCTGGTAAATTATTAATAATGATATATGTTGGAGTGTAAGTGCGATATATTTTTAATATACATTTATTGGTCAAAATTATTTTAAAAATGATGAATTGATAAACGAATATATCTTACAAAAGTTTCAAATAATTTAGGAAAATATTAAAAGTCTATATTGATTTTTACATATTTCTTATAGTTAACTATCTCTTTATTTTATGCATGTAACGTGATCGCTGTGATGTACAGTTTGATTGTTTAAATCAAGACTGAACGAATGAAAAGATGAACTGAAAGAAAATAGTGTTCTTGGTGAAGAGGTTGCAAAGATTGATAAGAATTGGGAGAAATGCAAATAAATTATTACTAAGGAAATGGGAGAAATGCAAATAAATTATTACTAAGGATAAACGTTAATTGATTATATAATTATTAATTGTCAGTGGAATTTTCAGTTTAACCATGCTGCTACATTAACATTAATCATTCATCAAATACGTGAAAGGAAAAAAAAAGAATATCTAATTTATTACGACAATTTTTTCAGATTTTTTCCATTTTCAGGAATATTCCGAATTTTTTCTTTTGGTAAATAATTTCGTTATTTTCACCAAATGATTTTATAGGCCAAATTAGAATTTATTTGCCTTTGCTGTACATAATTTTTGATATTTGTTTATGAATGAGGACAATGATTGATTTTTCAGAGCCAAGTAAACAGCAATGAAATTTCATTATTTTATCAGCTAAATTATTTTATCTTTTTTTTGTCAAGCCTAGCGATAAATTTAATCTATAGAATGTTGTGTTTAATCAAATTTAGTTTTGCGGTATCGTAATACTACCTATGACTAAATGGAGCTACCCTATATGATTAAATATAATTATTTTATTAAAGGAAATACCTAAAATAATTTGCCTTGTATGAAATTATATATTCAGCTAATTCTATCATGCAGAACACTACAAATTTAGATTTGTTATTTGCCAGACATTATCGCTTGTCACAAAGTGAACTCGTGATAAGTTGTTATCAAGTTGTTGAGTTATTTAAAGACTTACCATTTTTGCTATAAAAATCAAATGATCAACAATAATGTAAATGAATTCTTATTTCAAAAAGCAAAGTCCAAAACAGCGTTGCCAGCACTGAAAAAAAGATACGTTAACTAATATCTACATGAATGATCTACAAAATGACAATTATATGAGGAATAAAATCTTTGAAATAGAAATCCGACTAAATTCTTTTTTAAAATTCTTTAAAAAATACAGTTTAATCTGTAAATAGTATAATCAATGAATTTTCCCACTTTCTGAATAACACCAGTAGTTGTAATAGAGAATATTAATGGTAATAGTCGTAACAATAAATAATTTTTAAAATAATTACATTCATTTCTAAATTCTAATATGAATAGTGATATTAGAATTTTTGTTTTCGCAAATCTTTGAAAGTTTTTGAAAACTTTCATAACTTATGGAGGTTTGCATCAATTGTATGTTGGAAAACTATAATAAGTAATAATTATATTAGAATGATAATGGTAACAATATGATGATAATAAAAATAATAATATGACAACAATAATAATAATAATAAATGAGGTGCGGAAAATGTAAACATGAAATTGGAAGATATGAACCGCAATTATTGGATGTGCTGCATGCAACTGTGAATGTTTGTAAAAAAAGTTTATTTATCAAAATTATCAACTTTGGCCAATAATATTTTAAAATTGTTATCGAGATGACACAATATATAATTAGATTTAAGGATGGATATTAAAAGTAAAGTATAAATATGGTAAAATAGTGAGACAGTACGGAATGTGAAAAATGTGTAATAGTGTGTAACTAGAAAAGGCTTACTCAGACTGCAAAATGTCTGCAAGATTTTTTTGCAATCGTATGTTGCTCATGTCCATGCATGCAATGCAGATAATTGCAATAATGGATTAATCCTCTTTGTTACGTAAAAAAAACGCTTTAGAAATTTCGCACTATTCATACTTAAAAACTTCTAATTAAATCAGTACGTTGATATCGTCTTGTAAACAGAAAAATATACCATCTACAAATAAAAATTTATAAAAGTTTTAAACAAAAAAAAAAGGAAAAAACAACTGGAAGTATTATTTTTGTAACGAAAACATAAGAAGAAAGTTATGAACAAATTCCAACATTTCACCGAAAAAGAAAAGAAAAAAAACTTCAAATAAAATATATTTGTTAAATGAAAAAAAAAAAGTAAACAGGAATATTGCTATACATCCTTTTAATTTTTCTAATTGTTTTCTTAGGAATACAGAAATATTTTAAGAGTAAAATTTAGAGGAATTCGGTGACTTCGTTCTTGATGGAATGAAGGCAATGTTTTAGAGAAAACAAAAGTCCAAACTGATCATTTGGGAAAATTAAACTAAGAAATAAAATTAAGATTTAAAATAAAATCTTAAAATTGTTACAACTCTTACATTAAAGGATTTGAAGTTTTTTCTCTTATTTTTTAAATGTTATCAGTGATAACAAAAAATTAAATCGGCAGAAAGATAAGTACTTCATACTACAAAGATTAGTAGACGTCTGTTTAAACATGCAAACGATACTGTAACTGATTAACCGTAAGTAAGTATTGATAATACGCTCAAGTTATTAATAGTTATTTAGAGCATTAAACAGAATTGATGTGCACTTCCGGTTCCGGTTCTTTTGTGAATACAACCTTTCGAGACTCATGAACTGATCCATCCGGATCACCGCTATTATTATCCTTCATATATCGTTGCTTGCGACTTATTACGGTTTTTACACTGTGCGGTCCAAGCCTTAGATTGTGTTTTGAGGCAATCTAAAATATAAAAACCGAGAGAGGAAATACTAAATAGGCATTAAAATTAAATTAGTCAAATCATGAATGATGATAGATACTTCAATTTACATATATCACTAATATAAAAATAAATTGCAATAATTTTCAGTCGTTTCTTATATGACTAAATTTTAACTGGAATATTAAATAATTTTTTTTTAATTACTAATTTATATGATACTCTTAATAACCTATAATTCATGATAAATGCATAGGATCAAGTCAAAATCAGCCCCAAAAGGCATAATAAGCCGAGCTATGTGTTCCTTATCATTGATTTAATTAAAATCTGATTAGCTTACTCGTTGACATATGATTAACTTACTCGTTCGAAGACGGTTGGTTCATCGTGTTTGGAAATAAAGAAGAAATTGAGGATGAAGAATGAAATTAGCAGTATAGTGATAGCGAATAGTGATATTACAGCTACTGGTCCAAAATAATCGTAAAACTCGAATTCTTGCTTTAAAGATACCATCTAGAATTGAATTTCAATGAGAAATTTAAAAGTATATCAGCAAGAAATATAAAAGAAAAAATATAACTAATATAATTAAGCATTTGTTGATTATTATTAAATAGTGGCGTGATTGCAACCGGTTATATTCACATAAGTAATTTAGATATTAATTAAAAATTAGAAATAAATAGAAAAAATTGTGTATTCTGATGAGAAATTAAAAAAACATATTAGTTATTCAAAGTGCAAAATTGGATCAAAACTGAATGCTAATTGAATGATTAATACAGTTTCTATGCCCAGAAATAAGAATGCGATAGTTTCGAGACTTATATAAATTAGGAAAAAAATCAGTGATGGACAACGATAGATTTAAAATGATAATAAATAGCACTGATTATTAACTTATACTAGCACTTCATCACAATCCCTTTTTTTCTTCCATTTCAAAATTCCGATGCAACAAATTAACCATAAATAGCACCTGATATGATAATAATCAACAAATTCAGATCATAACTGATATGGCCAAATATAATCAACCATCGCTAATTGACTAAGTTTTTTCTTCCTCACCTCTTCACATTTTCATGTTTTGCAAAAATTTTGTCGAAATAAAACAAATTCAAAATTTTATCGAAATAAAACAAATGCGATATTTTTATCTCTCTACTGAACACATAATCTAATGATATCTTATAAATTTTAAAAATACAAAATATAAGAATGGCATGCTGACCTGAATTTAATCTTGATAGAAAATTAATTGCATATTCTCTAAAAATTACATTTGTTCTTCTGGAATGTAATTTGAGATAGATATGTAACCAACTTCAGATGAAAATAATTCTTCAAATCCTAAAATTATGTCAACTGATATTACTAATTTAAAAATAAATTTTAAGAAAGCACAAAGTGAAGTGATATTCGTATGAGTATAATTCTATGATATGGAATGTATTGATAATCAGTTGAGCAATTTTCGATGTTTTATAGTCGTGTGAATAAGAAGTTGCTAGTCGCAACATTTAATTAATTAAATTTTAAAAAACTTGAAATGATCAAAAAGACCAAAGATTATACGGTTTACCGATCAAAAGATTAGAAAAAGTTTTGTTAATATATTTAACAAGAATGATTTCAAATCAAGATGTGGTATTATACAATAATCTAACTGTTTAAATTCT